TATATAAACATGTGGAGCACTATACAAACTACCTTATTAACCGTAGAGAGTTCTATAATGCTACGTTATTTCTTTCATTTTCGAAAGTGAACTCCTACGTTTTCTTTATTCATAGCGAGGGATACAACGTTAAACTATATAATAATACGCTTGTTCGTGTGTCTGTTACGGAAATGACGTGTGCGCGCATGTTTATATTAGATAATAAGGTGCGCGCGCGTATTATCATAACAAACAAAGTATTATTATAATAGATTAGCAGAGACTCGCAAGACATTTGCGCTCAGATTAATGTCTTCATTGCTGTTGTGTGTTATTAAGCACAAAGCTACACAAAATGCTAACTGTGCTCTGCCCACCACGGGTATCGAAACCCGGTTTCTAGCGCTATAAGTCCGCAAACATACCACTATGCCACGGGGGGAGCATCTTTATTGCAACAATACTTCTTTAAATACAGGATTTCTAGAATGATACAAAATATTTCGAATTGCAGACAGCGAAATCTTGTCATACCATAATTCTGTTGTCAGTATGCCTTAGAAGCATGCGCAGTAAGAATTTTACCCAGAAAAATAGTGCAAGCACCTGTCTGCTCCAGAGAGCTGGAAAGCTCAATAAACAAGTCAAAAACTGCTCTATGAATGAAGGAATATTAAAAAAAGGTGGATGTAAATATTCTTTATTAACCATTTAATACAATAACATTAAAAGCTTGAAGTTTTCAAAAGGTTTGACGTTATATCCCAGAATATCATTATAAGTTTATTTATAGATAGTATTAAGTACAGTATAGTTTAGTCCTTACTAAGCTAATGTATAAAACATACACGGTACATTGTTTGTTTAAGTTCTATCTTTATCGAACTTAGGCCTCATATTAGTTAAGGTTTTATAAAGTACGACCTTAATACAAATGGACTTTTCGTTTGTATTATCCTACAAATCGTGTATTTAAAGAAATACTGTTGCAATAAAGAGACTAAATGTACAGCAGTCGTTCTGTGGATATCTGCTAGTATATAGTATTCCTTCCTTCGATAATTCCGATAGTCACCCTCCTTTCTGATAGAGTGAATTTAGTCCCAATTACTGCTGTACAAAAGTTTGAAATCTGCAAAGAACTTTATTAGAAAAGTGTTCTTAAACAACTTATTGAGGCAAGTTTGATTGATTGATTGATTTAAGCTAAAAGCTGTAAAACTGGCTGTCTGCGCCGTGTTCGCTGCAGGGACAGAGACCCGAATCTTAATGTTATAATTACAGAAGCTTGCTGCTGAGCTAAGGGAGGAGGTGGAGCGGAGGATAGTGATATAAGAGTTACTTTTCATAATAACACCAGATGAACATAATAACACCGAATTTTGTGATTATTGGTCGTCTGCATGTTCGTGGAGTGATTGTAACATACACATGTAACCTAAAGAGTGATTATTTTGTCACTTTCAATAAAGTAGATTATAAACTTCGACTTTTGATACCTTGATGTTATGCACTGGGTTCAAGTTACTTTATTGTTTTCGATATCAATCAGTTCTGTGTTCCTTAAAGTTAAGATTTGTTCAATTGTTATCATACACAGGGTAACCACTGTCATGGTAACAACTGAGCACGTTCCATGGATATGTTCTCTTGTCATGATAATCTCGGTACAGGATCCCTCAGGCAGTATTTCAGTTAATCAACTCTGTCACTTCCTTGATTTCTTGCAGTATTACGATATATGCTGGTTGTAATATTATGATAGATACTGCGATTATACAGGTGGCGACGGGAACCTTTTTTCTAGACTTCCCTTCACACTGAACACAACAGGTATTATATTATATTACACGACGTTTCTAGTGCTTAAAGCCTTAATATCTCCTGAAATGTTTGTAAGTATGCAACTCATACCGTAAAATTCAACTACAGGCAGTATCCGCAATTGGCCTTACCCTTTACTTTCAAAACTTGTAAACTAAATGTAACAACTCGTTTGCTATACGGCTTCATAATATTGTCTCAACAACAGTGGTTCTATTTTTTTTATCATAAATCCTCTACACAGCAAATATTATATAATTTATTCTCAATTTAATATTACGCTATTCTTCTTGTAACTAATGATTGAACCAATTCATATCCTTCCACCCCCTCTTCCAAGAATTCTAGTATCCAGGAGATAAGACATTTTCATTTGCTATTGCATATGGTTTGAATTTGAGTTTCCAAATAAAACGATATTACAACTGAATATTTATATGATTCCAGCCAGAAAAGTTCTAATTTTGTATTTCACAACACTTCTAGTTCTTAAACGGAAGTAAAATTGGCATGCGGGTTGATGGAGCACGTGAACAAATAGGAACTGTGACTTCCGTGTTTCCTCAAACAGTTACCAATAACTATCACATGGAATACCTTTAAATATTCATTGGTATATTTAGCGTATTTTCTAGGTACGTTTACATGAGAAAGGATCAGATAATGACTCAGATTACCTAACGAGTCCGTTATAGGCTTAGATGACTTATGAGCTTGAGAAAGAATCAAGCAATGACTTAGATTACCTAATGTGTCCATTATAGGCTTATATTATCGACTTATGAGCTTCAGAAAGAATTAGGTAAAGGCTTAGGTTATTTAATGTGTCCATTCTGTGCTTTACTTATCAAATTATGAGCTTGAGAAAGGATCAAGTTATGATTCAGACTACCTAATGAATCCGTTATAGGCTTAGATTATAACCTTACCAGTCTTTAGCTGACACTTTCTCGATGGTGAAACGCTACGTGTAGCAATTCTAAGTTAGCGGGGGGCGTTTTTTTGATTCTAGAAACAGAATATTATTAAGATTATTGTTTAATGCTAGTAGGTGGATAGTAACTTCCCTCTAGTCTATAAATTCAATATTAGGAACGACTAGCACAGATAGCCCTTATATATAACTTTGCGCGAATATACAAAACAATACCTTAATAAAACCGAAAATGTATGAAATCAACATGTTAAAAAAGGCCCCCTGTGAGTTCCATAAATAAAGTAACTGGTAAGGAAAACTTAGGAATATAATCGTGTCTTGATTCTTATTAACTCGTTTCTGGATTAGTTAATCCGTCTTTTTTAACTATTCACGTCCTCCTTGTGCTGCGTTCTAACTCATTCTGGAGATATTAAATAGGACTTTCCGTGAATGTACGGGTAGTAAACTCAACTCTGTGGGAGTGGGTGGAGGGAAGTCTGCAAAACGTGCAGAATTTGGAAAAGATATTATTCTTGTTGATCAATAATTTATCTTGAAAACAAGAAATCCTAGTCCGAACTTTATAAAACATCACCATTAGAGTTTAACATGTTTCTCATATTAAATGTTACAGAAACACCATAGTCATGACATGTCTATGATATATTCTTTATTGCATTAGGTAGTAGTGAAACATGATGGTCAAAACATACCTATGACATATTGTCTATGATACTAGCGTTACAGCAGGATGATAATCAAAACATGCCTATAACATATTGTCTGTAATTTCAGCGTTACAGGAGCATGATTGTCAAAACATATCTGTGACATATTGTCTATAATATTAGCGTTACAGTAGTATGGTACTCAAAACATGCCTATAGCATATTGTCTATAATATTAGCGTTACAGTAGTATGATAGTCAAAACATGCCTATGACATATTGTCTATAATATTAGCGTTACAGTAGCATGATTGTCAAAACATGCCTATGACATATTGTCTATAATATTAGCGTTACAGTAGCATGATTGTCAAAACATGCCTATGACATATTGTCTATAATATTAGCGTTACAGTAGC